GAGTTACATTCTGACAACGTAAGTGATCAAACCCACATTCAGACCATCAGGCAGTATTGCACCCTTGGCCTACAGAGCAAAACATTTTTTTTTTTTTTACCCCCTGATGGTCATATAGTACCATCTTCACTGGAGTGCAAAAGGCTTTATAAAATCTCTCAATTCCAGAGTTCCTGCTATTTAAGATTCTGGATTACTGCACTATTCAGTCTCTGGAAAAAGTGAACTGCTCTACATTTGACCCCTTTATCAAAGTAAAATACCGATACATCCCAAAGCAGTTTCCAGTAGATGTGAAATTCTGCATAGCCAGAGGCCAAAATCACTTTTCTTTCTCAAGGTTCCAAATTTCTTCCAGTGCATGCAGGACCTGAATTGGATGCATCATCCAGGAACAACTCCATGCCAGGTTTCACTTTTACATGTCTCATCATGTAAACTCAATTTTAAACTTCTTGAGGGCAGCAACTGTGTCACCAGTTTCTGTGTATCCAATAGTGACTAGAAAAATGCTGGACTTACAGGCTGTGGTGGAGCTGAGGCACACATGATGAAATTCTGAAAAGCAGCACAGTACCACAAAATATCTGTGCTCTATTTCTTAGAAGGAGATACTTTTTTTTTTTTTAAAGAAGGGGGGAAATGTGCATGAAGATGGTCCCTGTAAGTCTAAAAACCAAAACTTCTAAACAATTTAAATGGTTATAACTACTCCATGGATATTTACATTTTGGTTATTGTACTTATTATACATCCTTGAGCAATTTACTTCTCTGTGCTTCACTTGCTGTCTCTATAAAATGGGAACCTGCCTAACAGCCTTTGAGAAGAATAAGTGAGATAATACATGCAAAGCAGTGGGAACAGTACCTAGTGCAGAGTTAAGTGTTCAATTAAATGATGTCTCTCATTATTCTTCAGCTACTCTAAATAAATATAATGACTGTTACCAAGGTAAAAATGTTCACTATAGTGTACAAATAAAGCAAAATATAAAATTATACATTTTTATTACAATAATGTAAAAATATATTCCATAATTTAAAAAAAAAAAACAGGTATTTTAAGCACCTATTATTACTGGACAGCTTGTTAGGAGTAAGACTATACATAAGCACTGAGTAAGTCCTAGTTCCTGATGGGAAGGGAGAGAGATAACAAACAGAATTTCAATTCAAGTTGGGGAGTGTGCACTGAGATGCTAGAGGAGCAGAAATGGAATACTCAGCCCAAGTGAGAGTTCAGGAAGGAACTCCTGGGAGATATGTCACACCTGAGTCAAAGCAGAAGGGAGCTAAAGAAGGGTACAATTTCAAATACAGCATCAATAATCAGTTAGAAGATATAATGGAGGGCCTGGCATGGTGGCATGTAATCTTAGCACTTTGGGAGGCCACGATGGGAGGATCACCTGAGGCCAGGAATTCAAGACCAGCCTGGGTAATACAGTGAGCCCCTATTTCTACAAAAAAAAAGTTTAATTTTAAAAATTAACCAAGCACGGTGCTGCATGCCTATAGTCCCGGCTACTGGGAAGGTTGAAGCAGGAAGACTGCTTGAGCCCAGGAGTTGAAGGTTACAGTGAGCTATGATCATACCATTGTATTCCAGCCTAGGTGACAGAGTAAGACTCCATCTCTTAAAAAAAAAAGAAAAAAAAGAAAGGGATATTTGGATGCCTGGCAAAACTTCCTCACTTCCACGTGGAAGTAACCAGCTGTGGCTGAAAGGTGGAGACCTCTTTTGGTGGGGCAATAGCTCTTGGCTTCATCATAACTCCGATGCACCCTTCTATGCAACAATTTCACCTACCCAGTTACTTGAACCATGCAGAAAAATAATGGCATGGGAAAACATACACAACATTACATAACAGGCAAGAGATTAATGTCTCTATTCATATGTAGAACTGCTAAAATGAATGTGAAGAAAATAAGCCAACTTTTAGAAAACTGGCACAGACCATTTACAAAAGAAATACAAATAGCCAACCAACATATAAAAAGAATAATCTCTCTTCTAATTGGGAAAAAATCATACTAGTGTTTTTGCCCCTTAGGTTTGGGGGGGGAAAGGATGGTAATACTCCATCTTGGCAAGAGTATAGGGTACTGGCAAGCACAAATACTGTTGATGGAAGAGGGACAGAACAATTTTCTTGATGGGCAATTTGACAGGAGCTACCAAAATCTATTTATTTATTTTTAACTGTTTATAGAGACGGGGTCTCACTGTTTTGCTCAGGCTAGAGTGCAATGGCTATTCACATGCCTGATCATAGTGTACTGCAGCCTCCAGCTCCTGGGCTCAAGTGATCCTCCTGCCTAAGCCTCCCAAGTAGCTGGGACTACAGGCATGAACCACTGCACCCAGCTTCAACAAAACATGAGACATGCATACACTTTGCCCTACTTATCCAGGGATTCCACGAATTTGACATATGAAACTAACTCACATATGCCTGCTAAGATACACACATGCATCTACCAGGATGTTCAATATGGCAATGGTTACTGAAACATCTAATGCAAATGGAAGTGACCTAAATGTTCATAAATAAGGGAAAGGCTAACTACATTAGAGTTCATCCATAGGCTGGAATGCCATACAGTCATTAAAAAGAGTGAGGTAGATCTACATTTGTTGACACAGAAAAAAATTCTCAGATATGGTTAAGTGGAAATATCAAGTGCCGTAATAATTAGTACAACCTAGTCAATTTTAGAATTTAAAAAATGTGTAAGTTAATATGCATATCCCCATGCACATTAATATACATAAATACTTTTCCCCTACTGCTAACCACTATCAACATACTTGTACAGCTGACCCTTTCACAACACAGGTTTGAACCGAGGGTCCACTCATATTCAGATTGTCTTCTGCCTCTGCCGCCCAAGACAGCAAAACCAACCCCTCCTCTACCTCCTTCTCCTCCTCAGCCTACGCAACACGAAGACGATGAAGATGATCCATTCCTACTTAATTTTCTCTTCCTTAGTTTTTTAATGAGATTTTATTTTCTATAACATACTCTATTGTTAGAATGAAGTATATAATACACACACAAAACGTGTTAAGTTTAGTAACACGTTTGGTAAGGCGTCTGGTCAACAGTAGGCTATTTAGTAGTTGAGTTTTTGGGAGAGTTAAAAGTTATATGGGGATTTTGTACTATGCAGGGGCTGGTGTCCCTAGCCCCCACATTGTTTATAAGTATATATATAATTTACAAATATAAATGTTTATACATTTTAATAGTATCTAAAGGTTAACAAAAGTCTGTTGATAGTGACACTTTTTTTTCTTTCTGTACCCTGAGGGCAGACATTTACTCTACACTTTTTTTGTGCAATGTGCAGTTTTTCTAAGAAGCATGCATTCACGCATTACTTGAATGCTTTTTTTTTTAAGGGGATGAAAAGGGCCTTCCCAGAAAAAAAGACAAAGACTACCAAGGATGTATGAAGGGAAGAAAGAACTGTGAGGCACTGTGGCACTAAGGATGGCCTGGTGAGCACCAAATGATGTGTAGCCGGAGGCAAGTGCAGAAGAAGACAGAGAACTCAGGGCTGTCCACCCCTACTCAGACCACAACCTATATTCTAGCCCAATGTTCCTTTGTTGTTTCAATTACAGCGCATAGAATTTGTTTTAAAGCAACACTCCTGGTACCAAATTTTAAACATGGCATCATCTCAACGGTGTAAATAATGCATTAAAAATGTGCTGGCAGGAAATATGACAACCTGCAGTTACTGCCTCTAGGAGGAGTGAATAGGAATAATCATCTTTTTGCTTCTTCATTATTTTTCATTTTCTAGTTTTCTGCAACTATGTATTATCAGGCAAAGAAAAAAAAAAAAAGCATACTTTTCAAAATGAATTTCCTATTATAGGAGAAAGCAAGCCAGTTATTTCCCCAAATAATCCCTGGCATAGGAGGACCCTCAAGTCCAATAGATATATAATGGCTTCACTGTTACTGTTAAGACTTTCTTTGCCTAGCTGTGAGTTTCCCAACTCCTTGCTCCACACTTCAGGCCCAGGATCCTGTGAGGACTGAGATGGAAACAGGTGGATGGTAAGAAAGGCTATTTTCATCCTTTCTTGAGGTACATGGATTCTTTTACCCACTTCCCAATGACTCTGAGGCCTCCTGGGTGCTACCATCTTTATTTCCTAACATCTCTTCCCGTATATACGCTCTTGGCTCTTGTTTTCATACACTTTCCCTGGTTCCTTTCCCTTCTCCCCTCTCATCCCACTCCCCAAGCTCCTCCTCTTCCTTTCTTCAAGTTACCCATGTTGTTGGCAGGAGGGATTCGCAGGATGAGAGGGGGAGAAGATTGGGTTAATGAAAATGTTCAGATTCTGAAGTTGAACACTTCCAGCCTCAAGCTTCGGGCCAGTGATGATGGCTGTCCAGGGAAGGAAGCAAAAGAGAGGATAAAAAAAAAAAAATAAGAAAAGCAACCCCTACTGCAAATATAAATACATTTCCCGTAATTATCTCTTGATCATGGATGGGTGTCACAATATGGAAGGCTCTGTTGTCACAGTCACTGACAACAGGAAAAAAAAAACCCAAAGACAGTGTTACAGGTTACTGTTCAATGTTTCATTATCATTAGGATCAAATCCTAAAAACTAAGACAAATTTTTTTTTTAATTAAGGAGTAATTTTCTTTTAAAGTATTCTTGTAGGAAACCACAGCATCTTTTTTTCACAAGGAAAGAGCCACAGAAAGCAGTTTCACCTAAAGGCACAATACCTGCCAAAAAACCACTCAGCTACTTGACCTCACTGGGGACTTCCTCTTTGCAATTTCTTAGTTCACTGGGAATTTTGCCAGGACTAAGGCCAACAACATTCCTGAAGATGTCATTTCCACCTCAGCACACCCTCCCCTATTTACTGGCTCAGTAAACACCGGGGCAATGAACTAATGAACAAGTGAATGAATGAGAAGGCATCAGCACTCTGCCGGGGTGCTTACCTCTTCTGGTTCATGGAGGCCACCTGGAGCCATTCGTTGGTGCTGGGGTTGTAGGAATGCGCAGCGGAGATCTCCTGGCTGGTGATCCTGTACCCACCCACTATGAAGAGGTAGTTGTCCAGGATGGCAGACCCATAGCCCCTGACATTGACCAGGTCGGGAGGAAGGTTGTTGGCCAACGGGAACCAACGCTCAGTCATTTCCTCGTACCTGAGCATGGACGGAGGCTCCCCCTGGTAGGGGTGAGGAGCCAGGGGTCCCCCCAGGAAGTCCCCAAGGGCCACCAGGACAGGAGTCCCAGTCATCCGGGCGTCTCTCAGCCTCTGCTTCAGGCTGACATCCCCTGGGGCTTGGGGAGGAGATCCCAGGAGGTGGAACTGGGGCTTGCACAGCACCTCGTGGAAGTGGACGACCATGAAGCGCAGGCAGGCCTCCTGCAGGTCGGGCAGCCCGTACACCTGCGCCAGGCGGTACATCTCCAGGCAGTTGTTAAGCCGCACCTGGGACAGCAGCAGCTGCAGCAGGGACGTGACCTGCAGGAAGGAGGCCGCCTCCACCAGCTCGGACAGCAGGCTCACCTCGTCCATCTCCTCGTCCTCGTCCACCCCGCCGCCCTTCTCCCCGCGCGGGCCCAGAAGCCAGCCTTCGCGGGCCCCGCCGGCGTTGATGAAGTCCAGGACCAGCCGCAGGCCTGGCGCGCTGAGGCCGCGCAGCTGCTGCACCTCCGGGCCGCCGGCCTCCTGGCTCAGGGCCTCGCGCATGCCGGAGCGGTAGAGGGCGCGGAAGTAATCGCTCTGCTCGATGAGCTTCCTCTTGCTCACCGGGTAGCAGCGGTCCTCCAGGCGGATCTGCACCATCTCCTCGGCGGACATGGCTGGGGGTCCCGGGGCGGCGGCGCTCACAGCCAGATCTGCGCGCCGGCCTCCCCGCCCCCACGCGCGCGCCAGTTCCGGGTGGGACGCCGAGGGATGGCGGCCCGGGAGGAGCAGCGAGGTGAGGGCCGCCCGCGCTCGCCCGGCCTCTCCGGCGGCCCCTCCTCCCGGCGCCTGCTCCCGCGAGGCGGCGGCCCTGCCCTTCTCCTTTCTCTCAGCGCCAAAAAAGGGCGGGCGCAGCGCGCCGGGGGTCTTCGCGCGGGCTCTCCCGGGCGGCGCCTGGCGGGAAGGGAATCCCAGCCCCCAGCCCGCAGCCTCCGCCCCCGCCGCCGTCCTCACTTCCGCCGTGGGACCCCGGCCGCCCGCCTCACCCGCGGGCTGCATCCGGCTCTCTGGGAAGCCGGAGACGTTGCGGGACGCCCGGCCGGGGAAGCGGAAGGCGGGGGGCGCGCGTCCCGAAACCTCTCCGCACGTCCGGGGCGCGCCGGCTCCGCCGCCTGCCGGGGTCTGCAGCGACGCTCCGGGGTACCTCCGGAAGGAGAAATCAGTTTGTTTTCTCTCCCACGCTGCTTTACAGCGGCTAAAGAAAAAGCAAGGAGCGTGGGAGGAAAGGGAGGGAGAGGGAGTCTTTGGTTCAGAGAGACAAAAGGCATCAAATGTGAGGTCGCCCTTCTGCCGCAGTCCGACATCGAGTGTCGGTGGGCCGAGGCACGCAGGCGGTCTGTGGACAGGTGTGTGGCACGTAGAGCTGATTCTCTGGCAGGGTCGTCGCGTAGGAGCCATCTTACAGGAGGTCCAGGCAGATGGCAGCAGGTTCTCAGAAGAATCGGGTTGGAAGGCAGGGGAGCTTGCATTTGCTGGTGGGGCCCGTTATTCGGTCCCTAAGTTATTTAAAGAAAGATGAAAGCGCAGCCCAAATAAAGTTACTTCAGGCTTCTGGTTTTAAACCATGTTTTCCATGAGCCATTGCTTTTCTACTTAACTCTGATGGAACTATCCATTACGGAATGTTATCCTGGCGCAGGTCTGACAAAATTGGCTCATTGCTGTCTGCAGAGGTGGCTTTTCTTGTCACCCCCTTTCTCCACCTACCCTGCCCCCATCATCATCTGAGAACTATTAAGAGAGACCACACGTGCATTTTGGCCAAGGAACCCCCCAGCACTTTGGGAGGCTGAGGCGGGCGGATCATGAGGTCGGCAGTAAGAGACCAGCCTGGCCAACGTGGGAAACCCTGTCTCTACTACTAAAAACACAAAAATTAGCCGGACGTGGTGGCAGGTGCCTGTGATCCCAGCTACTCGGGAGGCTGAGGCAGGAGAATTGCTTGAATCCAGGAGGCAGAGGTTGTAGTAAGCTGAGATCGTGCCACTGTTCACCCTGGACGACAGAGCAAGACTCCGTCTCGGAAAAGAGAAACCACTTGTTTCCTGTGTTCTCTCACTGAACATTGTAATTAGAAGGCCCACCCCAAATAATAATAGGAAGGACTTTTTGTGTTGCTTATGAATTCATCTCAGGAAGGGGGTGGGGAGAGAAATATATTGTTAGGGTTATCTTTGGGTAGGAAAAGAGAGAGAAGGATTGAGGAAGCAGAGAGTGTTCACTCTTATCTTACAAAACAAAAGCAGAAAACCTTGAAAACTTCCCCCAAACCAACATTTGAGAACCACCTATGGTAAACAGTTTTTAACTTGGAGAGAATATGTTGTTTGGATTTTGTTATTATTATTACAAGCTTCAGCTTTCTTCTTGAATGACAGATTGTTAAATAATATCTTATTTATAAGTACATTTCCCCTATTTAAAGAAGATATATCCTACCATGTTATGTTAGGAAGAGGAAACGGTTAAAAAAACAGAACTAAAGAAAGTCGTAGGTGAAACATGATATCCTTGCAAGACAGTTTGGTTACATTCGTGCTTCTTACTATGTCATTTAACTGCTTCACAGGTGTTGTCATCTTTACATTATTATTATTATTACGTTGGAAAGGAAGTTTGTCTTTTTATTTTTGGGGGGAAATGCATTTTTTTCCCATAGAGACAGGGCCTTGCTACCTTGCCCAGGCTAACCTCAAACTCCTGGCCCCAAGGGATCCTGCCACCCCAAGTGATCCTGCTGCCTTGGCCTCCCAAAGCACTACTGTACCTGGCCTATTTTCTTTATAATAATGCTAGAAATAAGGAACTAAAAAATAAAAGACATATAAAATGTTCTATAGATTCTGGCCTCCCTGGAATAAATGAAGGAAATAAAAATGGATATATGACTTACTCAGTTGTTTTCTTGGATTCTATAAAAAAATATTCATCTCTTGACCTGGTTTCACCTGGCCTTTCAATCGTCACTGATAAAACTCCATTTTCACACCAACCCTTCACACTTGCATTCTCTCTGATGGTGCAGTGAGGCATGATAAGCTTTGGAGCAGGAGATGGAGTGGGTGATTATGGATTTAGCAGCTTCTTCAGGATGGTAGAGTCTAACATCCAGTTTTAAGCATCAGGCTGGGGAACTTTTGCTGGGAGGCTACCCCTGTATCAAAGAGGCTTGGACCTACGATTTTATCTGTGCCTGAACCAGCAACAATGCCAGATTCAGTGGGTCAGCCACAAAGAACAGGCTCTCAGTCTCTCCTCTGTCTCTTGAATCTTTCACCAATGGATGCTTCTGTTTCCCAACCGTCATAGATATGCCTCAGACTAGTATTTTCTTGCCTTTTTAAAACAGATCAAAAAAATATGCTCAAAGAATGATGTGCATTAGAAAGGCAATTCAAGCACAGTAACATTATCAGGGTAAGATAAGGTTGGACAGGGAATCTAGGGTGTTAGTCTCACAATACTAGGCATTAATCGTGTGAGTTTTTGGCTCCCAAAATGATGATAACATTATTTAGGATTGGGAGCATCTTAAATGATCAAATCATTTTAATAAATTACACAGCAAGTTTTCTGTTAAGCTAGAAATGCAAAGTCAGAGCAATATAAACTCCTTTATTTATTTATTTTTAACACTTCCATTTATTTATTATTTATTTATTTATTTTGAGACAGAGTCTCACTCTGTTGTCCAGGCTGGAGTGCAGTGGCACAGCCTCAGCTCACTGCAACCTTTGCTGCCTGGGTTCAAGCGATTCTCCTGCCTCGGCTTCCCAAGCAGCGGGGACTACAGGCACGTGCCACCACACCTGACTAATTTTTCTGTTTTTAGTAGAGATGTGATTTCACCATGTTATCCAGGATGGTGTCGATCTCCTGACCTTGTGATCTGCCTGCCTCGGCCTCATAAAGTGCTGGGAAAACTCCTTTATTTTTAAAAAGACCTAAAATTATTTCTAGGCTTTCTGAAAATATTGCTTTATATAACTGGAGGTATAATTTTATAGATCTTTTATTAACTGATCATTGAATAATAAAAACTGGCTTTGTAGTACTATTATCAAGGACTATCTTACAAAAGATTAATGGTCAAATAGAATCAGGTAATTTTTTTTTATTTAAACTATTTTTTTAAATCGTTACTGATAAAACTCCATTGTCACATCAACCCTTCACACTTCTATTCTCTATGAAGGTGCAGGGAGACACGATAGGGTTTGAAGCAGGAGGGGGAGTGGGTGATCATAGATTTAGCTGCTGCTTCAGGATGGTAGAATGTAACATCCAATACAGTGAGCTGTAATAGTGCCACAGCACTCCGGCATGTAGTCCAAGCCTCTTTGATACAAGGGGTGCCTCCCAGCAAAATTTCCCCAGCCTTATGCTCAAAGCAATCCTCCCTCTTCGACCTCAGGAAGTGTTGGGATTATAGGTGTGAGCCACCATGCCCGCCAAGACCACTGGTTGCAGCTGAGCTGCACTAGCCCCAGCAGATGAAACCAAAATGGAGTTACTCACGCTGATGTTCCATGATGCCACCAAGCCAGAACCAAGATCTGTATCTGATCTTTGAAAAACTCAGGAGAGAGATAATCACCAAATCCCCTGACAGGCCACTTTTAACTAGCGTGATAAGGAAGTGCCCTCTGCTTTACCTTTACAAGGAAAGTAACTTTGAAATGACCAATCTGCTTTTTGTTTTCTGTTTCTGCTTTCCTCAGCTCTTTCCATCAACAAAGCCACCTCCTCTGCTCAGTTTATTGGATTTTATAGAATGAGGTGTTGCCCTATTTGGAACCACAAATAAAAGCCAATTAAGATCTTTAACTAAATTTGTTGTAATTTTGTATTTTGACAGTTTATATGTTTTTTAAATAGCAATACCCAGAAAGATGTTTATTAAGATGGTAAGTGCCTGAACAGTTTCTCTTTTTGTATTTTTCTATATGATATACCAATTTAATAGAAGCAAAAACATTTTTTAAGAAAAATAACATTTAAATTTTTCAGTTTCCATTTTTTTAAAAATATTTTTTATTAATTTTATCAGCAAACGAAATGGAAACATAAGTAAGTAAAAACAACTTGCAATGTTAAAATAAAAGTGACCAGGCACGGTAGTTCACACTTGTAATACCAGCACTTTGGGAGGCCAAGGTGGGCAGATCACTTGAAGTCAGGAGTTCAAGAACAACCTGGCAAAATGGTGAAACCCCATCTTTACTAAAAATAAAAAAACATTAGCCAGGCACGGTGCTGTCTGTCTGTAATTCCAGCTACTTGGGAGGCTGAGGTGGGAGAATAGCTTGAACCTGAGAGGCAGAGGTTGCAGTGAGCCAAGATTGTGCCACTGCCCTCAAGCCTGAATGACAGTCTCAAATAAATAAATAAATAAGAAATATTGACTGGTTTCCAAATGTCTTGAATTTATTAAAGCTATGCTATTACTTCACTGCCATTTAAAAATTATTTCTCTTTGATTATTTTAGTTCCTTGATATTCCTAAAACAACTTTATTTCTGTTTTGTATTGTTTTTTTGAGATGGAGCCTTGCTGTGTCTCCTAGGCTGGAGCGCAGTGGTACAGTCTCAGCTCACTGCAACCTCCACTGCCCAGGTTCAAGTGATTCTTTTGCCTCAGCCTCCTGAGTAGCTGGGATTATAGGTGTGCACCCCCATATGCAGCTAATTTTTGTATTTTTAGCAGAGATGAGTTTTCACCATATTGCCCAGGTTTGTCTCAAACTCCTGAACTCTAGTGATCTGCCTGCCTCAGCCTCCCAAAGTGCTGGCATTACAGGTGTGAGCCACCGTGCCTGACCTATTGCTGTTTTTTAACAAGCAAAACTGAAGTATCTTCCATTCGTCAAATCTTATGGGGTGATATAAATGAGATAAAAGTAGTACATGGTCTTAAAATGGTTCTACTTAACTCAAGTTGAGCATTCTTGTTTAGGTAAAACTTCCATTTATTTCGGTCATCTATCTGTATCAGTGTTTTCCAGACATCTTAAGAAATCACCTGGGACTCTTGTAAAAATAAGAATGCCACTCTCCTCCACTCAACAGCTATTGAATCAGACTGTTGGGAGAAATAACTGACTTTTAAAGTACCAATCACATTTGTGAACCCCTCTGCAGAGCAAAAGCACACTATTGGAAAGAAATATAATGTATTGCCACATTGCAACAGTGTAATTGTTCTGGGTATTTGATAACAAGACCTTATACCAACTTTTGATTCTGTTGCATTGCTTCATGGTTTCTGCAATTTCAGCACCCAAGGACAAGTTTTGAGATTGTTATGGATGCCTCCTTCTACCTCTGCGTCCCAGCTTCTACCATTTCTTTTCAAAATACTTGGCCCCAAGACGTTATCCATTTCCAGACTTCATGCAATCACCAAAAAAAAAGTTCACAAATTTTAAAGCACGCTTTTACATTGAGACTTGTAGATCCTCTTTTTCTTTTTTTTTTTTTCTTAATAGCACCAGCCCCTGCAGGGCTTTTTTTATTTATTTACTTACTTATTTAGTAGAGACCCTGTCTCGCTATGTTGCCCAGACTGGTCTCGAACTCCTAGGCTCAAGCAGTCCTCCTGCCTCATCCTCCCACAGTGCTGGGATTATAGGCATTAGCCACCCTGCCTGGCCAAGATTTGTAGATCCTTTAAAATGCAACTTTGATCTTTATTTAAATACGATCTGAGAGCAAAAGAGTTAATCGTGGATTGTTCTATTATCCCTGAAGGGAACATGAGAACTTCAAGGAAATACACAGCACACAAAAGAACCTATATTTAATATGACTCAAAGACTTGATGATGATAAGATTATAGAGCAGATCTTTGTGTTTAGGTCTTGAGGGCAATTTCTAAGGGAAATAGCTTATGGAATCTCATTAAAAAAAAAAAAAAAGTAATTTGCTGTTACTCATCTGTCCCTTCCTTTGCCATTATAAAACTCTCTTCCCTATCCCTTCAGAACAGATGGAATTATCTGAGTCTTTGCAGGTAAGCAACTGAAATTTGCTTTCTATAAGAAGTTCATTAAAATAAAATATTTATCATTTTGTGTATTTTATGTGGCTTAGGCAAAGTTAGGAGTTAGTGTATAATATAATTTTTGCTCAGAAGAATTGTTTAATATTTATGAAGTGTTTCATATTTAAAGCTATTCAGTCTTAACTCCTTTCCATTATCAATTATTATCATATGCTTCCAAAAATAAAGATATGTAATAATTAGACTGACTATTATCAGGAAATGGGCAAAGAGATGAAAGTTCAAAGAATGCTAATGATTTTTGTGTCAAGAAGGTGAATGAGTCATTGTATAAAAAGGTATAAAAGAAATAGAGATCACAGATTAGAAAGTTTCTTTTTAAAAAAGAAACAGTACAGTGCTTTGTGCCAAAAGCTGATTATCACTAATGCTTCATACAAAATTGGATACGAAAAAGCAACAGTTTTATGCTTTGAACCAATTTGTCATCTTGGACGTCACAGGATATGAAACCCACAACTTTCACAAAAGTGAGAGTCCATTTTTACTGTCTTTTAAAATGTTTGAGCATTGCAATTGAAATGATTTTATTACTATTTAGAAATTTAAAAACATTTCACCATTTCCTAGTGTTTGTTATTTGTTAGTTTGTTTGGACTGGTTTGGTTTGGTTTTTCTGAGACAGGGTCTCACTCTGTCACCCAGGCTAGAGTACAGTAGTGTCATCTCAGCAGCTCACTGCAACCTCCACCTCCCAGGCTCAAGCAATCTCCCACCTCAGCCTCCCAAAGTGTTGAGATTACAGGTGTGGGCCACTGTGCCTGACCACGGTTTTTATTTAATTAAGAACAAAAACCCAAACCAGTGCAAAAACTTTTTTTTAGTGAACATGAATGTCGGAACTTAAATTTAAAGAAATAGAGATGATTTTTAAAAATAGAATCTGCAGTCACAAGTTCTTAAAAATCAAACAGAAGTGCCCTCACAAAATCATGTCTTGTTTATGATGAAATGGATACTTCTTTATCTGACGTCAAGTGACTAACTTACTGTTTCCCTCAGAAAGACTCTTGACTAAGGTTTCCACTTGTCTTTATATTTACTTAGCAAAAGGTGTCTGTGACTATTCACATTCAGAGAAAGAAGAAAAGCAGAAAAGAGAATGCATATCTTAAGATGCTAAGGGACACAGCATTGAAATAGCCTGGAAAGTGCTCAGAAAGAACACCGGCAAATCAAATGTTCACCTGGGACTCGACTGGGAAGAAAGAAAAGAAAAATCAATATGCAGTCAAAGAATCATCTTATTTTTCTAGAAAGTGACTCTACAGAAACGCTCCAAGGAAGCTCTCCCTTAGCAACACCCCTGACATTCCAGAGACTGTCCTAAACTCCGGTGTTCAGCTTCTGTCTGGAAATCAGATTTATCTTCGAGTCTTCCTTTATACAGGAAAAATGCATGTGGCAGTGGTAATAGCGAACGTAATACTGCTCCTGAGCATGGGATGGACATCAGACTCTCTCTGCTCACCCACCATTTTTTACAGAGACTGCTGGATCCGTCGCTTCCCAGGTCTTCTAGTCGATCTGGAGGAGTCTCAGAAGCTGGGAGCCCAGTTCTTGAAGTATTATTCTGAAAGCACCGGCCAGAAGTGCAGTAGGAGATGCTGTCTTCGGAAGGATGGTAAGTAGTTATGATATGCTTGGGCAAAAATAAGAGGAAATTTCCAAGGATGAAGACCTAAGTGAGGAGCCCTAGGTAGAGGCCAGTAAATAGTTGCAAATGCGTAGGGAAGATACCCTGGGGTATGGGAGAGAGAGGGAGAGGAAAGAGAGTCATTGAAACTGATTTCACAGTCTGGGCCAGAGCAGGCTCTATTTACAGATCTAATAATGACCCAGAATTCAAAAGAAACTACAGGAAACAGCATCCTCTTTTCTTCACCAAAATGCTAAATGAAAATATTTCTCCCAAAATTAATTTACAATATTTTTACAGCTCAAAATATAAAATATATGATTTTCAAATATTTATTTACTTCTCATTTTATTTTAAATTTTTAGAGACAGGGCCTCACTATGTTGCCTGGGCTGGTCTTGAACTCCTGGGCTCAAGTTATCCTCCTGCCTCAGCCTCCCAAAATGCTGGGATTACAGATGTGAACCACTAACCCAGTCAAATATTTACTATAATTTACCTTTCAAAGTACATTTTGGTGATATAAGTATCTCGTTCAATTTTTTTTTAATGTGCTGGACCAGGTGCAGTGGCTCATGCCTGTAATCTCAGAACTTTGGGAGGCCAAGGCAGGTGGATCACCTGAGATCAGGAGTTGGAGACCAACCTGACCAACATGGTGAAACATTGTCTCTACTAAAAATACAAAAATTAGCTGGGTGTGGTGGCAGACATCTATAATCCCAGCTACTTGGGAGACTGAGGTAGGAGAATTGCTTGAACCCAGGAGGCAGAGGTTGCAGTGAGCCAAGATCACACCACTGCACTCCAGCCTGGGTAATAGAGCGAGACTGACACACACTCTCTCTCTCTGTCTCGCGCACACACACACACACACACACACACACACACACACACAGACACATATATACACACGCACACCCCTAAACTAAAATGTGCTGTCTTGGGTTTACTAAATGTGGAATGTATTGAAAAAGAATTTAGAGTGTGATTCATGTTTTGAAAGAAATAGGGTGATACATGTCAAATACCTGCCCCAAATCGTATTTCCAAATATTCCTCATAGATGTTTTGTCTGTAATATGGGGTCTGGGTGGAGACTGCATCCATATAATATGATCAAGACCTGCAATTAGGAATGTTTATTATTGCAGAATTTCAAGTTATAATTGCCTAAAAACTTTCATTTTTCATTTTTCCAATATTTTAAAGCTACTTAAAAATAAACAGCAAAAGCAACACAGCACTTTAAAATAATTCCCTTGGTCTACACTATCTTTCCATGGTTTCGTATCAACTTGTTAACTTCCAATGTCTCTTGCCCAATTATGTTTGTAAGATTTTTGAGATGAAAATTAGAGTTACGATTAATTTAATAAAAGGAAATCTTTTTGAAAAGATAGCCAATCCAGATTTTCACCTTCCAGATGCGTCTAACTCCCATAAGGCCGCACTGAGCAGCGATGGTGGAGGGCCAGTACATTTTTTTGAATTTTCCCATAGCATGAATTTAACTGACTCCACAGCAGGAAAGCTCTGTTCTTTGGACTGTCAGGGATACTGTAAGCATATAGGGCAATCCCATGATTTTAGAGCCCCTGTAACTTCCCAGTTGTGGCTTTCTTCTTTCAGAATAAGAAAGAACAAAAAGGCACATTCCAGTTTTTAGCTGGAAGCCATAACTTTAAAAATGCCACAATCCTGCTCAGAGCTGAAATGTATACAAGGAATGTAAAACATGTTTCAAAATTGTCCTCTACAGAATCAACTACTTTCGACAGGCGCCATGGCTCACGCCTGTAATCCCAGCACTTTGGGAGGCCGAGGGGGGTGGATCACCAGGTCAAGAGATCGAGACCATCCTGGTCAACATGGTGAAACCCCATATCTACTAAAAATATAAAAAATTAGCTGGGCATGGTGGTGCGCGCCTGTAATCCCAGCTACTCGGGAGGCTGAGGCAGGAGAATTGCCTGAACCCAGGAGGCAGAGGTTGCAGTGAGCCGAGATCACGCCATTGCACTCCAGCCTGGGTAACAAGTGCAAAACTCCATCTCTAAAAAAAAGAATCAATTACTTTCTCATCAGAAATGTAAAAGTCTTAAGTTTGAATATTTTTTCTTTCTTTTCAACTTTACAGCACAGTTCTCAGGGAATGTATTTATAATCTATAATTTATTCACATTGTATTATTCACTCATTTTTGTATTATTCTTTCTCCTGGAAAAATAGAGTGCAGAAACATGGGGATGTCCCACAAGTAATGATGGAGATTAACTCCTCACAGTTCACTTACACAGAAGCAGTACAGGTTCTGCGAGCAGCAGATCCACAGTTTTAGGCATACTCTGAGGTCCAGTGATCAGACGCTAGCCCTCTGTAATCTTATTTTATTAAAGAAGTTGACACCTTGGCCGGGCATGGTAGCTCACGCCCCTAATCCCAGCACTTTGGGAGGCTGAGGCAGGCAGATCACTTGAGGTTAGGAGTTTGAGACCAGCCTGGACAACATGGTGAAACCCTGTCTCTACTAAAAATATAAAAATTAGCTAGGCGTGGTGGCACACACCTGTAACCCCAGCTAATCGGGAGGCTGAGACAGGAGAATTGCTTGAACCTGGGAGGCAGAAGTTGCAGTGAGCTGAGATTGCACCCACTCCAGTCTGGGTGACTGAAAAAAAAAGTTGATACCTTTCGGCCAATGGATATTTCACATCACATGGTCTCTATTGCACTTCAGCAGAAGTAAAAATCTGTGTTGCACTTTAGTGAGGATAGACTGAAGATTTGCATTACACAAATCTGCTTCAGGTTTTCCAGAAATAAGGGAGCTTTTTTCAAGTCTTCTCTTCCTCTGTCAGACAACTTTTGTTGTTGTTTGCTTTTGTTTTTGAGACAGTCTCATTCTGTTGCCCAAGCTGGAGTGCAGTGGCGCAATCTCAGCTCACTACAACCTCCACCTCCTGGGTTCAAGTGATTCTCGTGCCTTAGCCTCCTGAGTAGCTGGGGTTACAGATACATGCCACCACGCCCAGCCCATGTTTGTATTTTTTTTTTTTTTTTTTTAGTAGAGATGAGGTTTCACCAGGTTGGCCAGGCTGGTCTTGAACTCCTGACCTCAAGTGATCCTCCACCTTGGATTCCTAAAATGCTGGGATTACAGGTGTGAGCCACTGCACCTGGTCAGAGAACATGTTTTAAAATGCAAATTTGCTTAGGAAAGAAAAGACAGCATGAGCCAGTAGTGTGTCCCTACGTGCTAGAATTCTACCTGCTAGCATCCCTGCCTGTCCGGTCCCTGCCTCTTCAAATGACACTGATGAGGGTTTTCCTTGTATGTGGTTTTGCATGTGGGGAGAGTGAGCACCTTCAGTCAGGGCACGGGTGCTGTTCACAAAGCCTGCAGCCTTTCCACCATCTGGGCCACTTAGGTGCTACTCTTTTGCCCTTCCCAATACTCCCTCTTCTTCTTTACAGCATTTGTCCTTTTATTTTCCTATTTCTTTCTCTAATGACCCCCAGACTCAGCATTCTGAAGGGACACTGTCCTTACAAACCTGATATAAATCCCCAGAGGTTTTTTTTTTTTTAATTTTTCGAGACAGAGTTTTGCTCTTGTTGCCCAGGCTGGAGTCCAATAGCGTGATGATCTCAGCTCACCACAACCTCTGCCTCCCGGGTTCAAGCGATTCTCCTGCCTCAGCATCCCAAGTAGCTGGGATTATAGGCATGAGCCACCATGCCTGGCTAATTTTGAATTTTTAGTAGAGATGGGGTTTCTCCTGGTCAGGCTGGTCTTGAACTCCTGAACTTGTGATCTACCCACCTTGGTCTCCCAAAGTACTTGGATTACAGGCGTGAGCTACCACACACCGGTCCCAGAGGTTTTTGTAGCTAATCTAATTTTTCATGAACACAAAATTCTGGGACCAGGATATAATGAATAATTCCAAATATCCTGTGTGGGATGGAAAGTATGAAAGATTACTTTGAGAAAATCAGAATTTTCTTTTAAAAAGGCATTTTCTGGCTGGCTGTGGTGGCTCCTCCCTGTAATTCCAGCTTTTGGGGAGGCAGATTGTTTGCACTCCAGAGTTTGAGACCAGCCTGGGCAACACGATGAAACCCTGCCTCTACAAAAAAACACAAAAATTAGCCGGCATGGTGATGTGTGCCTCTAGTCCCAGCTACTTGGGAGACTGAGTTGGAAGGATTGCTTGGATCTGGGAGGTCTAGGCTGCAGTGAGCTGTTATCATACCATTGCACTCCAGCCTGAGTGACAGAGCGAGACCCTATCTCCAAAAAAAAAAAAAAAAAAAAAAAAAGTATTTTCCATATTCACAGAAGCAGTTACAGTAGTTTATAAACGTTCTGCAAAATGTCTGCACATTGCCCTGAAAAATACTGTTAATCCAGTATTCCTGAAACAAATATAAGTTACTCAGAGTTTATGAAACTGGTGGAAATCAAGACCATCTGCAGATGTATTTCTCTTGTTTCCCTTTCAGTTTCCTGTAACCTGGCTGTCTTCTACCATGATCCTATTCATGACAATATCAACTGCCTCCATATTCACTGCCCAACACTGGAGAGCTGCATGTTACAGCCTGGAACCAGTGCCATTTTGTACAACATAACAGATGGTAATGATTACATAGCTCAAGACTTTTAAAGAATGCTGGCAGTACTCTAGTAGAGGCATATAGCTGAGAAACAGGGTAGCAATAGCCGTATATGAGTCCCTAAAATCACTATTTTCCAGTGAACTTTGGAAAAATTTTGGATAACTAGGACAGAAAACTGAAAGAAAACTTTTTTAGTTTGATGTGTTCAGCAAAGAGTTCACTCCAGATTATAAATCATATGTGATCAAACAAGGGCTTACTGACTGTATATTAAATGAATCTCAAGAAGTCTCAGCAAAGCCAAAGGAAGCATTTCTCCTGCAGTGGCTGAAGTTGCCACTAGGAGATAAAGATGATGCTAAATGGCAGTTTTGAGGGCCATGGACACTGCATACAGGATTCTGTAAAGAGGGATGTCAGGCTCAGGGAAACTTAACCACCGTGTGCTGACATACATCACTGGTCCTCAAGATAACTAGTGTATTTTATTTTAAAAATATAAGTGTTTTGTGCCCATGTATGTAATCTCAGGGTGTAAATTAGTGACCATAAAAGAAGAGATTTTTGCCATCCAAAAGCAAAGGAGATACGTTTATTCATCAATCTGTATGTATTGAACACCCGATGCTCCAGGCTAGAATCAACACTGTGGAAGATCGCAGCCATATCTCTGTCCTCAAGTCCCTTTAGAATCGAGTTGATGTGACAAGTCTTACAATTACTGTTAAGACACAACTAAATACAAAAACGTGTGAAGCTGCCTCAGTGCAAAGTTTCAAAGAAGGGGATACTAGTGAAAGCCAGTGTATTCAGAGGAGGTTCATGGGAGAAGCCAGGCAGAAGCAGCAGCTAATGAGTTCTATATTATGCCACAGAGAAGTAAGCAAACAGGTACAGCCACAATAAGGAGATGTGGAGTTGCAATGAGAATATGGCTAAGATAAGGTAGGGACAGGTATCATAAGGGCCATGGACAGAGTAGAGTTTTGGTTTGACTTTGTCAGAAACAGAGAACAAGGGCATTTAATGAAAAAGCATGTGAAGTGATAGGTATTTGTCCTAATCCAGGACAATTATATGAAGGTATTGATAAGAAAATCTGGTCAGGAAAGCATTAGAGTCTGCCAAAGTGACTGTAGCTGAAACGAAGACAAGGGATAATTACCAGAGCATTGGGAAGATCGAATAAGGACTTAATCACATTTTTAATAAAGGAAATGAAGAAGTGGGTGGAGTCAAAATCACTTTGCAGGTCCGAGTGCAGTGGTTCATGACTGTAATTCTAGCACTTTGGGAGGCTGAGGCAGGAGGACTGCTTGAACCCAAGAGTTTGAGACCAACCTGAGCAACAGAGAGAGACCCCCATCTCTACAAAAAAAAAAAAAAAAAAAAAAAAAACTAGGCAGGTGAGGTGGTGATGTGCCTGTGGTTGGTCCCAGGTACTCAGGAGGCTGAGGTGGGAGGATCACTTGAGCCCAGGAGTTCACAGTTACAGTTAGTTATGATTGCACTATCACACTCCAGACTGAGTGACAGGTGCCTCTTAAAAAAAAAAAATCACCTTACAGTGCAGATTTCAGTGTGGGTGATGGAAGAAGGATGATGCCAATGAAGGAGACAAGGAGGTAGAGGTAACGATTTTGGTTGGGCATATTAAGGGATGATATAAGAGGTCCAGATGGAAACCTCCAGTAGAACACCGGATAAATGAAATCAGAGCTCAAGAAAGAAGGGAACACATAGTGATAGGAGTTTCAATGCCATAAATGTAGTGGTGCCAATTGAACACAACCTCAATTGTGTGTGTTGGAGGGGAGGGGGCAGTGAAGAGAAAATACAGCTGAAGACCAAGGACTGAAGATTGTGGAAACCACACAACCAGTGAGGTTGTACAAGAGAACCAACAAAAGAAAGCAGAAGTGAGAGGCAGGCAGTCTGGGGAAAAATGTCAAGGGGGTCCAGGGTCCAGGAAATCATAAGAGAAGAATTTCAATAAGGTGGCTGGCAGTATCAAGGACAAGAGAGAATCCAAAGCAAGGAGATGTGAGTGATCAGGAAGTAAGAAAACAACTGAGTACCTTAGAAGCGTGGATGTTGGCATGTTTGCAGAGGAGAGAGAGAGAGGAGAGAGAGAGGAGAGAGAGAGAGAGAGAGAGAGAGAGAGAGAGAGAGAGAGAGAGAGAGAGATCACTAGCAGGGACCACTAGAAAGCTGTTGAGAGTTTTTTCTCTTCTCCTTTAAAGACAAAGCAGTATTTGTTCATGTCTGAAGTCAGAGGGAAAGGAGTTAGTATTCAAGGGAGAAAATACTAAAGACAAAACAAGACCCTAAGAGGTTGAAAAGGAATGAGACTTAAGGCTTTACTCATGATTTTGCTTATAGTCACCCTTCTCAGGTTCTATTTTGTTTAACTTGATTTAAAGATGCTATATTGCCAGGTACAGTGGCTCCTGCCTATAATCCCAGCACTCTGGGAGGCCAAGGAGGGCAGATCGCTTGAACTCACAAGTTCGAGACCAGGCTGGGCAATGTGGCGAAAACCTATCTCTACAAAAAATACAAAAATTAGTGGGGCATGGTGGCTCATGCCTGTAATCCCAGCTACTCAGGAGACTGAGGTGAGAGGATTGCTTGAACTCAGGAAGCAGAGGTTGCAGTGAGCCAAGACCACACACCACTGCACTCCAGCCTTGGTGATAGGGCAAGACCGTGTCTCAAAAAATAAATAAATGCTATATTGTATCTCAAATGGTTATTGTTTCTACAGCTCTCAAAGTAACATTCACTACTGTACAAAAACCCTAACAGACATAAAGTCTTCTCCTTGGGTGTAATCTAATTTGTTCATGTAAAAAAAAGTGTTTTAGAAAGTTAAGATAAATTCAAATGTAGCCAGTATGTTTGGAAGTCTTTAGGAAGTATGCAGTATTAGAATATGACTTTAGCTTCATTCAATAACTCACAGTGGCAAAAGCCAGCCCTTCTCCAAACTGCGCTATAAGGTTTTCACTTTGAAAGTAAAAATAAAATGAATGATGCCTTATTTATTTTTCAGGTATAGATCCGGATTTGCTGGTTTTTGATCAATCTCCCATGTATCTAAATACTCATTCTTCATCCAGTAGATGGGACAGACTAAGGATTCTAAAAGCTGTAAATTTAGATAAACCACAAACCACTGTGATAAACCATATGCTGCCATCCACAGAGGCTCCACCCTCAACCACACATCAAGATTTGGTTGTAAACACAAACAGTACCGGCTATTCCAAAGAATTAACCACAGATTTTGGGGCAAGATTCACTTCCCTGAATGACTCCATTACAAAGGTAAATATGGTGTCACCAAGTTCTGATGTCATCAGCAATCCAGATAATAAGACGATTTCTCCTTTCTTTGTACCCACAGACACAAAACTTTATCATATGCCTGTTCCATCCCGACTCAATAGTAGCAAACAATTACTGAACAAAACCAAAGGATACAATAGCAGAAACCACACATCTGCAAATGAAGATGAGGTGTCTGTGACTTCAAGGACCTGGCTGGCTTCTGTGGCCCTTTGCACCTCTATCATCTTTCTGGGCTGTTGTATAGTCATTCTGGCATCTGGATGCTGTGGAAAGCAGCAGGGCCAGTATAAACTAGGACAGAGAAAATCAGAATCCTAGCAAATTAAAAACCATAACCATATGAAGAAGTCTTCATAGTAAAAGCTGTAGCAAGATTATATGCTTTCAAGGATATCATTTTTAGTTTTGTGTAAGAAAGGGTAGTTTAGTTAAAAAAAAAAATTAGGCTGGGTCTGGTGGTTCACACCTGTAATCCCAACCCTTTGGGAGGCCAAGGCAGGAGGACTGCTTGAGCCCAGGAGTTCAAGACCATCCTGGGCATCTTGGAGAGACCCTGTCTTTATAAAATAAAAAACCAAAAAATTAGCACATGGGGCAGCATGATGCACCTGTGGTCCCAGCTACTCAGGAGGCTGAGGTGGGAGGGCTGCTTGAGCCTGGGAGGTCAAAGTTGCAGTGAGCCATGATTGTACCACTGCACTTCAGCCTGGGAAACAGAGCCAGACCCTGTCTCGAAAGAAAAATTAGGATGCTCACTCCTACCAATCTGTAAAAAAATAAAAAGGCTAACCCTTGATAAACATTTTTTTTTGGTGGTTATTTCTATTTTTTGAGTAGTGTTCCCCCTGCCAGAGTTGCAAAATTCTGATCCTTACAGTTGTTACTTAGTACTGAGTAAGAGACACTGTCCCAGTGCTGTAGGGGGATTAACTCACTGAATCCTTCCAACCCCGAAAGGTGGTTATACTGCTATTAACCATGATACTACTATAATATATATCATATATATTATAACTGTTATATATATATATATATATATATTATATACATATTATAACTAACTAATTGTTATCACACATTTTACAGATGAGGTAGCTGAGGTGAAGACAGCTTAAGCATCTTCCCTAAAGACACCCAAGTATTAAGTAGTGAAGTCAGGACTTAATTAAACACAGGCAATCTAGTTCAAGTCCATGCTCAAAAATCACTGTTGGACTAAGAGCCTCTGTTTTCCCAAAAAGCATGAAAAAACAGTATCATCATATTTGCCACCCAGTCAAGGTCAAATTATTGTCACGTACAGTAATACAATCATGTAGTAATGTGAGCAAAAGAACACAGTTACTAACAGTTACTAACCCATAAACAAATGCTTCCTGATCATAATCTAGCTTTCTACATTCAATTATTAATCCTTCTCAATCTCAACCCATCTTCATCTTCCTTTCAATAATTGTGCTACTGAGCTCTTTGAGCTTTTTGTATTGATTTCTGTTGAATAAAGCTTGGAGTTTTAGTTTTAGTTTTAGTTACATCCCTCACTTGTATACATTCTGTTTTCCCAGGTGTAAAGATTAGCTCTGAGTGTTTTAGTTCTGTCCAAATCTTACACCAGATTTGTCCCCTAAATCTTAGAAGACTCTTAAGTGTGGAATACTGTAGTTCAAGTCTCTAATAAACAAGCTTTTTAAGCCATCTCATTCCTGAAACCTGTTTTTAATGTAAGAACAGATATTAAAAGACAGCTAATAAGCATAAAGAATAAATAATGGACCAGGTGTGGTGGCTCACATCTGTAATCCCAGCACTTTGGGAGGCTGAGTCGAGAGAATCACCTGAGGTCAGGAGTTCAAGATCAGCCTGACCAACATGGCAAACCCCTATCTCTACTAAAAATACAAAAATTAGCCATGTGTCGTGGCACGTGCCTGTAATCCTAGCTACTCAAGAGGCTGAGGTAGGAGAATGGCTTGAACCTAGGAGGCAGAGGTTGCAACTGGCCAAGACTGTGACACTGCACTCCAGCCTGGGCAACAGAGTGAGACTCTGCTGAAAAAAAAAAAAGAATAAATAAGGGGAAATCCTGTTTATAATATTTATAAAATAGTACTGTTCCCTCATATGTTAAAACAAATTGTCCGTGGGTACACTCAATGTCAGATTTCACCACTACACAATATATCCATGTTACACAACTGCACTTGTACCCTTAAATACATAAAAATAAAACATTTAAATTTAAAAGAAAAAGAAAACCCAAAATTTTCTAAGTCCAGTGGCTTAAGATATATTTTTCTTTCCCTGGTAGTAATACTGGATGGAAAAAGAGAATGTCTATTTCTTTTAATATAAAAGAAAAATATAAAATTAAAATCTCTTGTGGTTGAATACTAACTACAATTAGAAGTCTGATTTTTAAAATTTAATCAAAAGGAGGGGCACAGTGGCTCACACCTATAATCCAAGCACTATGGGAGGCTGAGGCAGGAGAATCACCTGAGCCCAGGCTCTTGAGACCAGCCTGGGCAGCATGGCAAGACCCCGTCTCCACAAAAAATACAAAAATTAGTTGGGTGTGATGGTGTGTGCCTGCAGTTCCAGCTACTTAGGAGGCTGAAGTGGGAGGATCACTTGAGATCTGCAGGTTGAGGCTGCAGTGAGCCATTAATCTGCCTCTTCACTCCAGCCTGGGCAACAGAGTAAGGCCTTATCTCAAATAAATAAATAAATAAATAAATATTCAGTTAAAAAATTAGCCAGACATTGTGTCACACACTTGTATTCCCAGTTACTTGGAATGCTGCAGTGGGAGGATTGCTTGAGCCTGGGAGGTTGAGGCTGTCCAGGAGGCAGAGGTTGCAGTGAGCCATGATCATGCCACTGCACTCCAGCCTGGGCAACAGAGTAAGACTCTGTCTCAAAAAAAAAAAAGTCAATTTACCTTAACTTGTAGTAATTCATAAAATTAGGTGTCATAAATTTTATCATTTTCTCCTCTAATACATTGGGGGGAGGAAACTCCATGCTATTTGAAGCAGGGAGTGATGGTGAGGGGACAAGATTTAAATTATTCTAAAATTTTATTTATAGAAACTACACATACATTTTTAAAGTAGACAGGATCTTGCTATGTTGACTAGGCTGGCCTCAAACTTCTGGCCTTAAGCCATCCTCCCACCTCAGCCTCCTAAAGTGCTTTTACAGGCATGAGCAACTGCACCTGGTCCAACTGTTCTACTTTTGAGGGAGTTTTGTATTAATCCGTCAGCCCTATGATTTTGCCCTTAGGCATCAACGATTGTGACTTAAGAGTCTTCAAGTTACTTAGAGTTGGCCAATCTGCAAAAGAGGGTAGAGTCCTCTACAAGGCCATCCTACTTCTGACACCAACTGTAAGTTTGGGGGGGCGGGGGCTGATTCCCTAAACCACCCTCAGGTTCAATAATTCACTAGAACTCAGAACTGAATCAAAGCTATTATTCTCACAATCACAGTTCATTACAGGGAAAGGATACATTAAAGTCACCCAATGGAAGAAGCACCTAAGTTGAGGCCCAGGAAGGGTTCAAATGTTTAGCTTCTGATGCCCCCCCCGCCACCCCAGAGTCAGGACACATTACTCTCCTAGTGTCAGTGTGTGACAATATGCATGGAATATTGCCAACCCAAGAAGCTTACTCAAGCCCCCGTGTTCAAAAATTTTACTGGACTCCACTCTGTAGGTATGATTGCTGATTGTCTGGTAAGTCAATCTCAGCTACCAAGTGGACAGCTGCATTGTGACTCAAGGCCCCCACCCTAAATCACACGGTAGGTTTTTCTGGAATGTTGGTCATGCCTTCCTGAGATGTTTTGGGACCAGCTACCCGGCTAAACAAAGACAGTCCTCTCAGGTATGATACAGATGACATCCCAGAAGACTGGGGCAAAAACCAGATCTCTGGGTAAGGTCAAATTCTTTATTGCACATCCTCCTCTCTGCTTTCATCTGCACTGTGTTATTACACAGGATGAACCACCCTAAGCTACCACTCCTTTACATGTTCCCAAATGAACATCTCTTCTCAGCTTCAACTCTTCAAAGTGCTTCCCTCTTCAATACTGTTAGGAATCTGAGTTTTTCTTAACTCCATATGAGCCTCTAAATGTACTGATACGTTTCTTGAAGCATGCTGTAGACATGATCTAAAATTTGGGTTTTATCTATACTGCTTTTCATCCACTATTTCCATCCAGTGGGGCATGACATGCCTCTTTCTCCCGCTTTTGTACTCAAGACCGTATTATCCTTCATAACCTGAAGACTCCTTGTATCACTCGTATCACTCACACCAAAGTCATACTGTCAATTCATACAAATGGTTTAGGAAATTGCTGTAAACTTCCTTTTGGCTCTCATTTATACTCTCTAATTCTGTTAGGCAAAATAAGTCTATTAGGCAAATAAACTCAGTAATTCCTTTATTTTAATTTTAAATTAATCGCTTATTTTGAATTTAATCACTTAAATTAGTTACAACCACAGAAGTGGTAAGAAACAGCTTACAGATGTACTTAAAAATACTGAATTGACAGCTAAATTGAATGGAACATTTCCCAGGGTAGTTCTTATTCTGTCACCTACTCCAATTAAATTCAAGGCCCTTATGCATCATCTTTTTCCTGAGCTGTGGCAGCTCTAACTGGGGCACCCAGTGGGATACATACCAGGTAATCTCCACTTCTATTTTTCTGGTAGCTTGGGCCTGGCAAAATGAGCCCCACAATACAGAAAGTAGGATGCTAAACAAAGTTGAGTCAACGTACCTTTTTAGAAAACACTCCTGAGGACCTGTTTCTAACCAGAATTGACAACTGTGGCAAATGCATCAGCTCGACAGCAGTCATGTGAACAGAGCCTGGAACTGCAAGTAAAGGAACTGGGTTCTGGGCTTACCTTCCCAGATAACCAAAACCATTACTCAAAAGCAACTACTGAATGCCAGCTTGTGGGGAGAGACATGGGGAAAGTGACAAAATAACAATTAAATGCATGTATATACATGAATACCAAAGTTGTTATGTAGAAATGAAATCAAAACACTTTAGACCAAGAAGAAATCAGAGATCTCCTAGTCTACTGCCCCAGTGTAAAAGTAAGAAAACTCTGGAGTAATCATTGTCATTGAGCGTTAGTATGAAGGAAATAATTTTAACTCTGATGAAAAACAATAATTTTTTAAAACATTTTCAATTTTATATCAAATTAGATACTGATTACATATATCATAAAATTAATAAATCAAGCAGATTTTTCTACTCCGTAATTCATGTCAAATATAATAGTCTCTTCACGGATTCTTTGTACTGAGAAACAGAATTTTCATTTTCCCCTTCATTTTTAAGACTAACAACAGACTTTTTGTACTCTTCAACTTCCTTAGTACCGAGGAGCTCTTCTTTATTTACTTCCGTATTTTTCTCAGCAGCTTTAATCTGGAGAAGTGTTTCCAGAATATTTCTTTCTGAAGAGCTATTTTCCCATATATACTCTTCCATGTCTGCTTCAGTCTTACTTTTTTCCCATTCTTCAGTTTTCTGAGACAAAACAAAACAAAAAAATGAGTTCTGAATTCTGAGAAATATCAAGTTTCTTTTTTTTTTTTTTTCCTTTTTAAGAGAAGTGAAGTTTGCAAAATATGGAGAGGGCCAACGCCTTGTCTGTAGACTTTGGCCCCTGAACCCAGTACTGTTAGCCACCTGCCCTCAGTCACAGGAACACTGGTCTCTCCAGCTCTGTTGCCACTCACTAACTGTATCCACAAAATTACAATCTGCCTGCCTTGCAAACTTTACTTACAAAGACACGCTGTTCTCCAGCAGATATAGAAAATCATTTTTTGCAGCTATTCTCTAAGCCCGAATACATCAACATTTCCCTTTTCTTCTTCTTCTTCTTTTTTTTTTTTTCTTGAGATGGGTCTTACTCCATCACCCAGGCTGGAGTGCAATGGCACAATCACAGCTCACAGCAGCCTCAACCTCGCAGTCTCGGGTAATCCTCCTACCTCAGGCTCCTGAGTAGCTGGGACTACAGGTGCCCAACACCATGCCCAGCTAATTTTTGTGTTTTTTGTAGAGATGGGGTCTTGCCATGTTGCCCAGGCTGGTCTCAAACTCCCGGGCTCAAGTGCTTATTCTGCTGCTGCCTCTCAAAGTGCTGGGTTACAGGGGTGAGTGACTGTGCCTGGCCCAACATTTTGCATTTCTGAGTTGTAATCTTCAACTTCTTTAGTACCAAGGAGCTCATTATTAAAAATATTGAGAGCTGAGAGGAGACTGTATTTATCTCTGTAATATGCTTGTGGGATGACAAGGAAGATTAATTATTATAACAAAATTAAAAATACGATGTACATAATACATGGGTTTTAGTCATAACAACTTCATATATCCTGGAATTTTTTTGAGACAGAGTCTTACTCTGTTGCCCAGGCTGGAGTATAGTGGCACAATCTCAGCTCACTGCAACCTCCACCTGCCAGGTTCAAACGATTCTCCTGCCTTAGCCTCCTGAGTAGCTGGAATTACAGGTGCCTGCCACCACGACCAGCTAATTTTTGTATTTTTAGTAGAGATGGGGTTTTACCACCATGTTTTTCAGCCTGGTCTCAAATGATCTGCCTGCCTTGGCTTCTCAAAGTGGAGGGATTATAGGCATTAGACACCATGCCCAGCCTATCCTGGAATTTTATTTTGTTATTATCTTTCTGTTCCCATAATGTGAACAATGTTTTGTTACTACTACTCTTACAAAAATTATTACCATGCTATTCTAGGGAGTACTGGTAGGCTTTACAGTAACACAGCTAATAAGTAATATTCACTGGTTCAAAGAAGTGCTGAATACCAGTCACATTTTTTCCAAATTAACACATAACAATAATCTGAGCTACAGGCTGCTATGGAATCATCTACTATTCTGAGTAACAACTTTTAGAGGTGTCAAAATATTAAAAGATAAGTATATTTGTGAGGCTGTCAGAAATAATATTTTACCACTGGAAAATCCCCTTCAAAGAGATCCCAGCTTGAGTAGACAGTTCTAAAGCTCTGCAGAGCTGAGTGGGCACCAAGAAGCAAGTAAGGTTTCCACCCGTGCCACCCTCCCACCCCCATCCCCACTACAAGAGCCTATGAAAAGAAAGCATTAGAGATGTGTTCCTCAAGGGGTAAAGAGAGGCCCAACAAATCACAAACAGGCCACTGGGGATGACACCAATTGGCAAACCCTGCTCAGATCACCAAGGCAAAAGGAAGAGGCTTAGGAGAAGAAATTCTCCTTTGAATCCATGCTTACGTATACTATTACATATAATTCTTGTTAAGATTCACTGGGAAAGATTTTAAGAATTACATAGATAAGAAAACTGAGTATTACGGAAGTAAAACAGAAGACCACAATATATTGGGGAATTTCAGATTTCAGAACTTTCTGTATTTTAGAAAGTGAATGTGGTGCATAAATCATATATTTTTTAACACCTTTAGAGGTGGGCCTATAGCAGCACCACCTAATCCAACACATATTTTTTAATGCAACATATATGAATACATTAAATGGAATGAACAAAAAATATAAATAGCCTCTCATCTGTTCAGGTCACATGTTTGCCACCAAATAAGTTATGGAAAGACTAACAATTTCTAAAGCATCTTGGGTTTCAAAATTACAGATGCAGGGCCAAGACGGCTAAGTTTTGCTCAAGGTCATCCAGGAAGTTAGTATAAGAAGGTATTTACCATGGGCTTTGGTATTTCCCAGGCCGCAGTTTAAATCCCAATTTTCATCATTTACTACTGTAATAGGTGAGTTCCTTGAACTTGCATTCCTGTAAGAACTGACTTCACAGAGCTGTTCTGAAGATTTAAAGTGGTAAGGAATATCCACATACTTAGAGGACCTGGCTCACAGTAAACATTATATAAATGTTGTTCTTAATAATACACCTTCAAAGAGGAGTGGGTTTCAAACCAACATTTCCCTATCTCTAAAACCTATGTACCTATGCCAAGGGTTTGGGGAGGAGTATTGGGAGTAGGGGTTTCCACAAACCTGGACAATGGCTTCAAAGTGTACATGACATGTACTCTACCACCACTATGAAGCAGTAAACTAAAACTTTAAAGGTAAATATAAATAAACACACAACTGTCCAAATGTTTCCTCGTATTATTCCCGCTCACAAAATCACTTAGTGATATTTACAAAATTAGATAAAATATACAGAAACAAGAGGTCTTTATCTTTGTCACCGACTCCATACTATTTGCAAATAAGTAGTATGTTTCCAAGATGTTATACTTAAAAATAACAATTTTGAAATAAGATGTTTATATATATGTGACTTAAAATGGCTTTTTTGGGTAACAGTTTCCTTAACACTTTTCTTTAACTTCAGGGTCTTTTGGCAAAAGTTCAGTGTCATATAAAAAATAGGAGGTTAATACAAATGGTATAATAACCCAGAATTGAATTCTGATATGATATCAGCAGGTTGCAATTTTAAATACATCTTCATAGAAAAGATGGCAATCACTAAAAAGTAGAAGAAAAAACAATCATCTATAATTCTGTTACCTAAAGATGGCCCATCAACACTGGTAACACTTGGTGTATATCTTAAATCCATTTTTTTAAACCCTGCTATGATTATATTTTATTTACAGTTTTGTACCCTGACGTATAGTTCACTATCAATTGCTTTTAAAAGAAGTGGAGTCTTACTACGTTGCCCAGGCTGGGCTCAAGTGATTCTCCAACTTCACCTCTTAAGTAGGTGGAATTAGAGACAGGTACCACCATGCCTGGCTCCTACTATCAAATTTTTAACTTCTAAAACCACATCCAGCATTGAAGTCCTTAGTTGTTCCAGAGTTTCTTTTTTTGTAGTTCGAAGGTGTAGGTGGAAGGATTGTATGAGCCTGGGAGGCAGAGGTTGCTGTGAGCTGAGATCACTACAGGCTACATGTAGGAATATTCACTACTTGCCAGGCACTATTCTAAGTGCCTTACATGTATTAACTCATTTAATTCTCACAACAAACCTGGAGTTAGTACCATTATCATCTGTTTTACAGATCAGGAAGCTGAAGCCCAGCAATTGAATAATTTGCCCAAAACCACACTGCTTGTTAGTGTCAGAACAACATGTTCTAAGGAACCTCGAAGCATGATAAAAAGAATAACAGAAAAAATAATAAAACTGCCCTCCAGGCTGGGTGATAGGGTCAGACCCTGTCACACAAAAAAAATTTCTTTTATTGAAGGGTGGTTGGAATATATTAATTTTAAAGCACAAACAACAGCATATTAAAATAACTGGGGCAATTAAAAATACCATTTTAAACTCAAATTGATCATAACTTAGGCAAAGAATCTGTCAACTCCTATTTGAATTCTTTCACCATTAAATATTTACAATTTCACCATTTAATTTATAAGTATATATAATACACACACCTTTTCTTTTCCTTCCTGCCTGCAATAAGAGAATCTGCTCTGACCCCAACCCCTGAAGAAGCAACTTTCCATTCCATGTGATCCTGTTCTCTTTTCCAGTTGGCTCGATTATTCATTTTTTCATTAATTCAATAAATATTTATTGTACAACTACTCTGCCAGGCACAGTGTTCTCCGGGAACGTTCAGTCTAATGAGAGACTTGAAGAGTCAACTATGAGCCAGTCAGATGACTATTGTGATCCCAGTAGAGGAGATGCATCCACAAAGGCCTTGAAGCTGGAAAGGGCTTAACACAATCGAGGAAATAAATGAAGGCCAATGGGAAGGAAGTGGCATGGGCTGAGGCTGAACAGCTGTTGGAATACTCACTACATGCCAGGCACTATTCTAACTGCCTTACATGTATTAACTCATTTAATTCTCACAACAAACATAGGAGTTAGTATTATCATCATCTGTTTTACAGATCAGGAAGCTAAAGCCCAGAGCAACTGAATAATTTGCCCAAAACCATACTGCTTGTTAATGTTAGAACAACATGTTCTAAGGAACCTCGAGGTACGATTAAAAAGATTAACAAAAAATATAACATAATTTGAACCTATCATCTTTTTTTCCTTATAAGTATAAATTTAATACAATGAAAAACATAATAGCTAATTCATGCAAGACTCAGTTAAATTCTGATATAACAGAAGGCAAAGAAATATCTGCTCCACTGAACACACAGCCTGTCACCTCCTACCTTCTTATTTACAACTCTCTTTGCCTAGGACATGAATCATAGTAATATTCCACTTCTCATGATTACAAGTAAGGCCTTGTGCTGTATGAGAGAAAACAGTTTAACCATTTATAAAAATCCCAAGCAATTTGAAAATCATAAAAAACATGAAGAGGCAAATATTCATAAAAGTGAAAAAAGAATTACTGTCAATTCTTTCAGATACCAAAGCTAAATTTTTAACTATGTCGAGGAATTAATTTAGATCGGTTTTTTAAAAATTTGCTGAATGTAAATTTGCCAGACACTGTACTAGATGCTGGAAATACGAAGATGAATGAATATAGAG